ACAGTCAAACCTCTGCAAACTGAGCTACGAGGGTTACCGGGAACTGTGAATTTAATCACTTCTGGGTCGATTTACCTGTTTAGCCTACTGCAACCTATGGAATCCACCAATACCGATACAGCACATTGGCTGCTCAGGCAGGATTTCCTAAACAATCATCCAGAATCCATCAGACGTCAACTAGGCCCCAGGTGCTTGTTGACGTGCGTTCGAATCCCACCGAAACCGCGAATTTTTCACAATTGTGTCAACTGAACTATTCACATCTGCCGAACTCCTTCTAGTAATGGTAATAATCCTCGTTGGGTGTGAAATAAACAGCGTTATACCATATCTATTGATATAATTTTAGCAGCACCTTATTGATTGATAATTATTTTACTCTTTCCTTCCAGCATCTGATGCCCTGCAGAAGTTTAGAGAGGAATTGTCCAGCTTCCTGTCTGATCTGGACAGTGCCGAACCTGTCGAATTGGATAGTGAGAAGGCAGGGGTGGACGATGAGGAGGAGGCGTTGGCGGATGTTTCGCGCTTATTGGAGGAGGGAGAGGAGGGTGCCCCAGACGCGCAGATCGAGGACGACGGCGACGAATTGTCGCACCGGTCACCTGTACTAGCACGTCGAGCCAGAACCGAGTCCTCCGCCGTCAACGGTGTGCCCTTCAATCTGGAGGAGCAGTTGCGTCTCCTGGCTGTGCATGACTGTCCACACTGCGAGTGTTGTTCGGGCTCCCTATTGGTTGTTTGATAAGCCGTGCACCCCCTGCTTCCACCTTTTTTGCATGGCTGTGAATTCAAGACTCTCTTTCTTTTTGCTCTTGTTTCCGTTCCTTGTTTTTCTTTTTTTGCTGCTGATGCTGATGTTTCTGACCACCTTTCTCAGCCCCCCCCGACTCCGTGACAAGCCTGCTTTTATCTTCTGCTTTTGTGATTTCGCCCACCCTCTCCTCTGACGCACACATACGCACTCAGGCGCTTTTAGGTTGTGCATGTCTGCAGTTGGATGGTTGAAGTTAACTATTACGTAATTTTACTTAGTTTCTGTAGTTTTTTTGTCTTTGTTCGTGCTGGGTTCTCGAAACGCCGCGGTTCACGGGTGTACAGCCTACTTCAGTTTATTTCAGGCATGACTTTCGGAAAAGCGGAACGCCATTGAAATAGCAATAAACGTCTTACTGTAAAGTAAAGAGTAATATATTCATGTTGAAATGATGTTTGGTGAGTAGTCATACGGACGCCCTGAAGGGGCATGTATGACGTCAGATAAATAGATATAATTGTTATTGGCAGGTCTTAGCAATTCGTGAGCTTCGTATAACAGTGCTTTCCGGGTGGGTCAAACGGTAACGAGTGCAATCCATTCTGGGACCGAGCTCCTCATGTAAAACGCTCGTCTCGCGAAAAGTAGCAAATTAAACTTCTCTGATTGACTGCAGGCTACTGAGGATCCGCGCCCTGGGATCGAGGCCCAACGGCGGACACACACACACACGCACTGGTAACTCGTTAACTGAGCGAAAGCTGGTAAAATGAAACAAATTGTCTGTCGGCAGCCAGCTGGTTACCTGAAATGCTCGTAGGTGGGACTGTTCTTCACCCGAATCTCTAAATGATGGCCTGTTCCGTTCCTGGATGCAGACATTATTACTACCAGCCTGATTAGGTGAGCAACAAATTTCTGAGTAACTGAGTCAACTGAACCAGTGCATTCCTATAACTTTCTATCATTGGAGTCAGTAGTATGCTTTCGGGTGGGCGTCTTCACCCTCCTGTATGCCAGGAATTGTTTGACACAACTCTACACCTGTATTCCATTTGGCATTTTATAATCCTTTTTAAGCCAGGGGCGACACATTGGATTCCACTTGCGAACAGACAAAGATTTCATATGCTTTTGCAAAT